GGAAGGAAGATAGGGCAATCTACTTCCGTAGTGATACTGCCTTGGAAACCCAAGGAGGGGTTGCTATGAGTCGGGTCCGACATGACGGCACATAACAACAACACTGGTAGAAAAGCCTGACAATCTACTTTTGAAAATTTGCCAATGAAAACCTTATAAATCACAATATTGTCTGATATAGTGTTGGTGGCGTAGTGCCTAAGGCATTTGATTGCTAACCAGAAGGCTGGTAGTTCAAACCCAGCAGCAACTCCTCGGAAGGAAGTTTGGGCAATGGCAATCTACTTCCATAGTGATACCACCTCAGAAACCCAAGGAGGGGTTGCTATGAGTCGGATCCGACTCCACAGCAGTGGTTGCATTGCGTTTATAGTGCTGGAAGATTAGTCCCCTAGGTTGGAAGGCCCTAAACAACAACTGCAATAATGGACTCAAACACACCAAGGATCATGAAACTGGTACAGGACTGGGCAATGTTTCATTCTGATATACGTAAGGTCAACAGGAGTTGGAGCTGACTTGACAAAAACTAACAAGTCAGTATAAAATGGTATTTCACTGTGACCTTAATTTGCATTTCTCTTATTTCTAATAAGGCTTTGTAATATCTTTTCAGATATTTATTGCTGTGTTTCTTCTAAGAAATGCATAATTTTTGTAAAGCTAATTATATAATTTTCTCTTTATACCTTTTAATGGTTTCTCATCATAAAATCAAGTTCCTAAGTATGGACATAAAATTTTCCATGGTATATCCTTACCTCCCTGTATTGCTTGCCACCCTCCAAATTGTTTAGAAATTCATAACTGTTTTTTAAGTATGCCGTGTCCTCAGAGAATTCCTTTCTCATTTTTGTTGACTCTGGCCAATTCCTACTCATTTGTGATATATGAGAAATGTTTCTCTAATTCCTCTTAAGCTGAGTTAAGACCTGCTCCTCTAAATTCCTATAGTACCTTGTACATAAATATTATCATTGCATAGACTTTAAGCTCTTCCAAGGCAAGGACTTATTTTTATCTCCAGCACCTAGCAGGGTGATTGGCCCATAGCAGGCACTTAAATATAATTTGAGCTCCATTAAGGTGTGTCGTATGTGTAGGACTCAAGAGGCATTATCGAACAGGAAGCAGAAATAAGGATTTGAAACTCAAGAGAAAGACAGATTAAAGATGCAGTAATTGAAGTCACAGAAGGGGAAAATGCTTAATATTTGTCAAGTGTCTACTTTGTGATGGGCATGTAGCTAGGCATTTCTACATATTTACAACTTCTATGGGAGCTCTGGTAGCATAGTGGCTAAGGCACTTGACTGCTCACCAGATGGTTGGCGGTTCAAACCCATCAGCCACTCCTCGGAAGGAAGGTTGGGCAATCCTACTTCCGTAGTGATACTGCCTCGGAAACCCAAGGAGGGGTCGCTATGAGTC